ACCCGGGCAGATCTGTCCAGGCTGGGTAAACACAGGGGGTTTACAGCCCCAGGCACACCTGGTCGTGCTCTGTGTGTGCCATGGGCACAGCGCCCGGTGCAGACCTGGAGCTCCTGGTCCCTGTCCGGCAGTCGAGGGCAACCACAGACCCCAGTGGGGACACAGTGCCTGGACTTGGAAGGCACCAAAATGAACTTCTGGAGGGCACAGCTCCGGGAAAGTAAGGGAATAATGGGTGTGGGAAAATCATAGAATCATGGAATGGTTTGAGTTGGAAGGGACCTTAGAAAGATCATCCCATTCCACCCTCTGCCATGGGCAGGGACATCTTCCACTAGACTAGGTTGTTCCAAACCCTGTCCAACCTGGCCTTGGACACTCCAGGGATGGAGCAGCCACAGCTTCTCTGGGCAACCTGTGCCAGTGCCTTAGCACCCTCACAGGGAAGAATTCCTTTCCAATATCTCATCTAATCCTGCCCTCAAGCAATGGGAAGCCATTCTCCCTTGTCCTGTTGCTCCAGATCCTTATCCAAAGTCCCTTTCCAGCTCTCTTGGAGCCCATTTAGGCACTGGAAGGTGCCTAAGGGAACAGTCTGGATGGTTGAACAAAATGGTGCCTGTCCTGTGTCAGGGCTGTGGCTCCTTCCTGGAGCTGAGCTGGGAACAGCAATTGCTCCACAGCCATTGTGTCCCAGGAATCACACACGAAGGGTGAAGAGTAGCCAGCTGGCTGTGACAGGCACAGCACTGCCAAGTATTTTGGCTCCATAATAATAAAAATCATTAAAGTTTATGATAGGATTCAATTATAACTGAATATACCAAGAATGGGATCTTGTGGTGAGTGTGGACAGGATGGTGTTTGATCAGCTGGAGGTGTTACAGTTTAGTACCGTCTTGTTTAAACAGAGAACTTGGAAATAGTACAGTGACCTGAAACATCCCTGCATAACCACCTCAGCTTTCTGTGGCCTCCAGACTGGGCTTCCATGGCCAGACCAGGAGGTTGTTAATCCTTGTTTCTTTCAGGGAACATGAAAAAGAAGTGCAGAATCGGAAGAAGGGAAAGCGACCCCGGGGCAGGCCCAGGAAACACGTGGTGAGTCCTGGCAGGGGGTGAGAATCCAAGACCAGCCATCCATCCATTCAGAGCTGGAGTGGCTCTGGCCTTGGAGGGCCCGGGGAGGTCTGTCCACAGCCCAGGGTGTGGAGGACCCTCAGCCAAGAGCGTAGTGAGGGCATAGCAGTGCCTGCACACCCCAGGTCAGGTGGTTAAAGCTGCCAATGATGGGCAAGTGAGTGATGAGGATGCCTGTGAGGAGAATGTCTCCATCACTGCTCTGGTCATGGTGCAGGAGGAGACAGAAGAGATCCCTGGCACCGCTTGGTATCTAATCCTAGTCAGTCATGTGCTGTACACTCCCTAACCCTTAGATCCGCTAATGGATCCCTAAAGGTTGGCTAATGGATCCCTAAAGATCAGCTATGTGGAGAAAGAACCTGTGTATGTCTGAGGCCCCTGAAATGGTTTGCAGTGCCCATAAAGGTTCTTCAGTCATTGCTGTTAACTCTCCCTGTCTCTCTCCCTTGCTTTGCAGGAACCAGAGATGCCTGCGAAGTCAAAGTCAAGTAGCTCTTCTTCCTCCACATCATCCTCCTCCTCCTCTTCCTCTGAGGAAGAGGATGAAAGTGACCTGGAAGCCAAGAGAGGTCCCCGCAGCAGAGAGACGCACCCAGTGCCACAGAAGAAAGCTCAGATCCTGGTGGCAAAGCCTGACATGAAAGACGCTTCCAGGAAGAAGCGTGGGCGGAAACCTCTTCCCCCAGAGCAGAAAGTGGCTCGAAGGACTGTGAACCTGACAAAGGTGCTGAAAACATCCCGGAAGGAGGTGGGAGGCAGCGCCAAGCTGGTGGGGAAGCTGCAGCCCCAGCATGGCACACAGGGCACAGGGATGGCTGTGCTGAAGGACCCGCCAGGCAGCTTGGCTGGGCTCAGCTCTGGGGGATCAACAGAAAGCCTGCCCAACATGATGAAGAGTGGCTCGGTGAGCCCCAGCAGGGCCATCAGCTGGCAGAGCTCCATCGTGCACTACATGAACAGGATGTCCCAAAGCCAGACTGCGGCCGAGAGCTCACCCCTGGGCAGGCTGGCACTGAAAGCACAGGCAGCTAGTAAGAGCAACTTAGGGCTGGACTTGAAAATGAGGAGCCAGAAGGGCTCTGGGGAGCTGGGGCTGAGCATGCAGGGATCCAAGACTGCTAAGGCTGTTGGCAGTGGCGCTGGAGGGGACCAGAAATCAGGGTTTGCTGCAGGAGGCCAAACACTGCCCAACGGCAGCAAGACGTCGGCGAGCTCTTCCGGGGCCAATGTCCAGCCAAGCTCCAGCCAGGAGCTGAACCTGCAGGCTCTTTTTTTTTGTCAAAAACGGGCAGAGTGTGGCCGGGGGGAGCAGCCTCCCCAGGCACCTCTGTGGTGCCCTGGCCAAGGGCTCCAGTGGTGGTGGTGCAGCCAGTGTGGGTGCTGGTGGTGCCAAGGGTGGCACTGCAGGTGCAGGGCTGAACGCTGCTGGCACACCTGCAGGGGGGGATGGCAGCAAGAGCAAGAAGCAGATGCCCCGGGCGGGTGACAGGGACTCAACCAAAGGTGGCTCAGCCAGCACACAAGAGGGACACACAACCACAGAGAGCCGCAAGCCGTCCACCCTGAACGAGATGAGCACAGGAGAGGAGACCAGCTCAGATTCAGACCGGGATTCGGCTTCCTTCCCTGGTGTGGGTCAGAACATGTCTGTCTCCATCCAGACCAGCCAGGACTGGAAACCCACCCGCAGTCTGATCGAGCATGTCTTTGTCACCGACGTCACCGCTAACCTGATCACAGTGACGGTCAAGGAGTCCCCGACCAGCGTGGGGTTTTTCAACCTGCGGCAATACTGAGCCCTGGAGTGTGAGAGGAGGGGGAGGGTCCTTCAGCCTCTCCCTCAGCTTTGCCCAGCTCTTCCATCGGGTTTTTGTTTCTTCAAGTGAATGTGGAGACCTCATGAGACCTGCTGGGACTCGTGTCTGGAGAGGCTTGAGAAAGACGCGGTGAAACCTGCTCTGAACTGTCAGCAGGTCGTGGATCCCTCCCAGCTCCTCTCCATCCTCTCCCAGAGCTGTGCCCTGTGTGGGGGTGGCTGGCTCCGTTCTCTGGGAGTAAAGGCTCTGGTGCTGCTGGGGGTGTCAGGCTGGCAAGTTTTGAACCAGGCTTCACTGCTCGAGAGTCTCTTTGCTTTACAGCTTGAAACTGCAAATGCCAAGGTCTGCAGCTCCACTGACCCTGGGGAGGTGTGGAGCTGCTGTGGGCCAGGCTTACACCCAGGAGAGGACCAGGAGATCCTCTTCTGTCCTTTGGGTTCCCTGTGGATCTGTCTGTGAGCCATGGGGAGCCACGAGTCAATCCAAATGAGGCAGCTGCTGCTCCTGGCCCTCAGGGATGAGGAGAGTGGCTGCATTTGGGGGTTTTTCAGGGTACACTCAGCCCAGCCACCCCCCTGGGCAAGGTCATTTCCAATGATGGGGAACCTGTGACATTTCTGTTGGGGTTTCCAGCTGATAGGAAAATATTGTTTACATTTTTTATTAAGGAAAATTTTTACTTTTTTTTTCAAATGAGAGAAGGAAATAAACCCAGTCTGGGGTAGATTGAGTCCTGGATGCCAATGACAGGATAGGCAGCAAAGGTCCCTCTCTCAGAGCCAGCAGCACTGGCAGTGGGTGCTGCTGGCACTGCCAATGGAGGGTCCTGCCTCAGGAGCCAGCAGTGACCTTCCAGAGGAAAGCAAAGCCTGAATTTCTGGGCAGCCCAGGGAGCCCCTGCACTGTTCCTCTGCCTTGTACCAGCTGTGCCAGTATCTCCACCTCCCACTCAAGACATTCATGGGGACTGAGCTGGGGAATATTGGTGCTGGGACTGCTGGGTGTCTGCAGTTTGGGCAGAGCCAGGGGCCACTGAGTCCTCCCCACGATAGCCCAGTCAGACCAGCCTTGGTTGCTCCCTGGGTTTGGCTCAGACTTGATTATCCATGTTTTTCTCGAGATGGAAGGCTCAGATGCTGGTCGAGGATACCTGCACAGGTGGTCTGGAGCAGTGGGAAAGGTAAGGAGAGGAGAGGGAGAAGGGGCAGGACCAGCAAGTCCCTTGGGCTCCCCGAGGAGCCAGAGCACCTCAGCAGCTGTTTGCCTTCCCCTTGCCGGGGTGTTCCTTTTGGCTTGGAATTGCATCCAGTAATGGCTTTTTCACGGCGGTATTTTCCCTGCTGCAGATTTCTCCTACAAGCCAAAATTAGCAGCAGTTCAGGCAGAGTTTAGTAGCATTTGAGGTCATTTTAGTTCTGTTGATGCTGAGTTCTTTTCTTGGAGGCGATGAACAGCCGGTGGCCACCTGCTCTCCTGCAGGGTGGTGGTGCCTCCGAAGGGATGTCCCCGTGGTGTCCCCAGGGAGAGGGTCACCCTGGTGGGGGTCACCAGGTTACAGACCTGGCACTAGGACAGGCATTGCCCTTTGCCACAGGCAGTGTCCTTACACACAGGAGTATGGATACATGGACCAAACTGGGAGTACAGGTACTTCTGACCCACCTGGTGCTGCGGCCCCCCACGGCTGCTGCTGCTGGCTGATGTTGGGTCATTCTCAGGTGAAATGAAACCCTGCCCGTGCTGCCTGCTGCTCAGGGCATGGATGGATGGCTGTTTCCTGAGCAGAGCTGCAGGCTCTGGCTGAGCAGGCTCCTGCACTCCAGAAATGCTCTCCCTCAGCTTCTGGATTTAATCCCCAGCTGTCCTGGGGGTTGTGGTTTGAGTTTTGTGTTGTGGAGCTGAGCATGTTGTCCTGTGTGCGCTGGGGTGGCTGGAGACAGATTGTGCCTTGCTGCAGGACCTGTGCAGGTTTCTCAGGCAGCTCCAGCTGTGTCTCAGCACAGCTTTGAATGTCCCCTGGCCACAGTGCCAGGCAGCCTGGGGCAGGGGGTGTAGGGGATGTGCAGCCCCCAGCAATGTGCTGCGTATTGTTCTGCAAGGGGAAGGGGCTGAGGGGAGAGAAGGGATCATTGGCCATGGAGGAAATCCCAAGGATAGTTTTTGTTGAGCTCCACAATGCCAAAATGTCACAGTCTGTGCTGTTGACCTTCTAGTCTTTAACTTTGCCAAATGAGCCACTGTTGCTTTGAAGGGTCCAAGGAAGCATTGGCCTGTGCCAGCAGGAACCAGTGCCCTGGACACTGTCCGTGCTGGGGGTATGAGTGTTCTGGGAGAAGAATCAAGGAATCTGGGAGCGCTGGGTAACGCTCTGCCCCACACACCAAATGTTTGCCACTTGGCCTTTGCAAATCCAAATGGATCAACAATGTGCCTTTCGGACCGTCCTTATCTCTGCCTTGTCTGTGACACTGATCTCATGACAGGTTTGTGCCTATGCAAAGCAGAGTGGTCACAGGGTCCTGGGGACAGTGACATTGATGGGGACATGTGTCCTGCTCCCCAGTGGGACACTCAGCTGTTGTGCAGAGGTGAATGCACACAGAGGGGAAACTGTCCCAGCAGGGATGCTCTTGCCTTCAGCAATAGGATGTGGGGACTGGTGTCCCCAAGGGGGAAAAAGCATCTGAGGATGCTCCAAGAAGGTGTTGGGCCCCAACTGTCTATGAAGGGGACAGGAGGAGCTGTGACAGCAGGTGCTGTGCTTGCTGCATGCAGGCTCCAAGACAGCTGCTCCCTCCAGAGCCCCCTTGGAAGCTCCCACGGGTTTCTCCATGTGGGGTTTTGATCCTGCCTCCTGGCTGGGCAAAGGGTCACTGGGTCTGAGCTTGTGCCATATCCTGGCAAGCAGCCCCTCCATCTCCCCCTTCACAGGCAGCAATGCTGTCACCACTTGCTATTGTGCCTTTTGCTCACCAGCTGGTTCAATTCCAAAGGTCTAAGGATGGTGAAATGATAATCCAGGAATTTTTTCTGACCTTCATCTCCCCCTGCATTCCTTCTTCAGCCCCTTCCTGACCTGGTGTTCTGGAATCTCAGCTCTCCCAGCAGTGCTGGGGTGTCTGAGCACACAGCTCCTGTTGGGGTTTGCCTCCCAAAGGCACATCCTGTGAGTGATTTACTGGAATCTTTTGCAGACAGGGATTGAAGCCGGTGCAGACCCTGGTTGTGTTGGTACCATTAGGATTCAAGGTCTACCTTTTTTTTTACTTTCCTTTTTTTTTTTTTTGAGTTTGCTGCTATGGGTTGGTGTGTTCAGCCGAGTGTCAGACAGGCAATTAAAGGTTTGTCACTTGTCATTTTCTAAGGGGTTTCCGATGTGGAAAGTCCTGCAGTATTTGTATATTGAATGGATATTTTCTCCAGGCATAATCTGGTTAAGCATCCTTGTTGTTTTCCATTGGACTGGAAGAGGTGGCCGATTCAGCCATCTTCTCAAGAAACTGAATCTATTTTTATATATATATTTTGTACCAAAAAGAAACCTGGAGTTCATGGAGGGATGGAGATAGTTTTGAGGTCTGGTTTGTGTTGAGTTTCCGAGCTGGGTATGAAGGGCTCCAGAGCCAGGAGAAGGGTTTTACTGGCAGAAATTGAGGGATGGGTGAAAACAAACAATTGTTCTTGTAACTTGTGCCAGTCACTGCTCTGATTTGTACGTTTTAATTAAAGAGAGAGCCAAATCGGTCCTGTACGACACTTATAATTGCTTTAAACTGCAGCTGTTTGTTTGCTTTTATTTTCCGAGAACAAAAGTCGGAGATGTTATTGCCCTGGGAAAG